CCCATCCCAAAAAGGATGGCGGAGCCCGGCCGTGATCCGGTGGAGGTGACCCCCCAGGGACGCTTAGTACGGTCCTGATGCCATGCCAGTGGAGGACCTGGGAAAAGGGTCCTAAAGCAGGTGAAAACTATGCGGCTTACAGGGGGAGAGTAACATCTCATATCAGAAGGTTTTGGAGTGAGCGAGGAGGAGAAGCTGAAGCAAATGAAGATGGAGTTGAAGCGTTTTAAGGCTGCCTATGGAGCACAAAACGTCAGGCCATGCGGCCAAAGCTGGAGGAAATGGAGCGGGCCGTCCGGGTGCAAGGAGACCTCGTGGCCACGCTCAAAGCTGCGAGCGGCGCCCTCAGAGAGCGGTATGTCAATGAGGAGTGATTTAAACTTGCCCGGGAAAGTCCTTTGCATCTGGGAGAGGCCAGGTGGAGACCCTGTCATCAGAGGATTCCTCCGATCATGCAGCAGCAGCCCCAGCAGCAGAGTGTCAGCATGCAGAGGAAGGCATGGATGCCATGACGGTGGAAGAGGAGCAGGGATCTATCCCTCCCCAGCAGCAGTGAGGGATTGGGCTTCAGAGGTGCCGGATGAAGCTACAGAGGGGGTGATGGAGTTCATTGAGGAACTGGAGTCCCCCCTGCAGGGAAGACAGTTTGTGTTTTCCTCAGCGGACACTGACCCGAAGATGATGTGGTTCCCAAACCTGTGAGACCCAGGAGGAAGGAGAGAGCTGCTTTTGTTCTACTGGAGCGTTTGCCCAGTGAGATAGAGAAGGCAGCCGGCTTGAGGGAGGTGAGCGGTGCCGCAGTGAAGCTGCAGGAAGCACCAGGGACTGTAAGTAAAGCTAATGGACAGTTCTGTCATGTCTGCTGGTAATGTTGTGCCTATTGTGGTATTAGATGGCCTGGATCCCATGTGTGTGCCTGACTCAGCTGCAGCTGTGTCTACTTCAGGTCTTTGCTCTGACAGTGTTTCCATCCCTGCTGACGCTCCCCCACATGTTCCACCCACAGTCATGGCTCCTGGTGGGTTTCCCGCACATGTTTCCACCTCTGCTGCAGTCATGCTGCACATGTTTCCACCTCTGCTGCAGTCATGGCTCCTGGTGGGTTTCCCGCACATGTTTCCACCTCTGCTGCAGTCATGGCTCCCGGTGGGCACATGTTTTCCACCTCAGCTGCCCGGTGGTTTCACTGCTGCAGTCATGGCTCCCGGTGGTGTTCCCGCACATGTTTCCACCTCTGCTGCAGTCATGGCTCCCGGTGGTGTTTCCCGCACATGTTTCCACCTCTGCTGCAGTCATGGCTCCGGTGGTGTTCCCTCGCACATGTTTCCACCTCTGCTGCAGTCATGGCTCTCCGTGGTGTTCCCGCACATGTTTCCACCTCTGCTGCAGTCATGGCTCCCGGTGGTGTTCCCGCACATGTTTCCACCTCTCTGCTGCAGTCATGGCTCCCGGTGGTGTTCCCGCACATGTTTCCACCTCTGCTGCAGTCGTGGCTCACGGGTGGTGTTCCCGCACATGTTTCCACCTCTGCTGCAGTCGTGGCTCCCGGTGTGTTCCCGCACATGTTTCCACCCTCTGCTCATCGGCTCCCGGTGGTGTTCCCGTCACGTTGCCCACCTCTGCTGCAGTCGTGGCTCCTGGTGGTGTACCCGCACATGTTTCCCCGCCTCTGCTATGGCGGTCCCGTCTCAGTACTTATTTCACCTGCTGCAGTCATGGCTCCCAGGTGGTGTTCTCGCACATGTTTCTGAGCCTCTGCTATGGCGGCTCCCATCTCGGTACCCACCTCTGCTGCAGTCATGGCTCCCGGTGGTGTTCCCACACATGTTTCCGCCTCTGCTATGGCGGCTCCCATCTCTCGTACCCACACTGCTGCAGTCATGGCTCCCGGTGGTGTTCCCACACATGTTTCCGCCTCTGCTATGGCGGCTCCCGTCTCAGTACCCACCCATGTTCTTGCCTCAGCCCCGGTCACGGCTCTTGCCAATGTTCACACCCATGTTCCCGTCTCTACAACGGTGCAGGCAGCAGTCTGTGTACCACCACTGATCCCGCCTATGCTCCGGTCTCAGCTCCCGTTGCTAGTCCTACCCCTACCCCCGGCCAGGCTCCTGCACCCGCTTGTGGTGTCCCATCCCTGGTCCCGTCTCTGCACCTGTCCCAGCTCACGGCTCAGCTGATCCTTCTGTCCCTGCATCTGTCACAGCTCCCAAGGCCAGTGTTGAGTTTACTCTGCAGCCGTGAGAGGTGGGCAGAGTGCAGTGAGGACCTCAGAGGCACGAGTTGGGGAGGCAGGTACTGTGATAAAGAGAAGGAATGTGGTACAAATAAAGTGGGAGGGTGGGAGGGTGGGAGTCCCACCCCCACTAGAAGGGAGGTTATTGATCGTATATTGGACATGGGCTTCTGTGCCAGGGACATATTTGCCTTATTGCACCCATTGGCACAGGTGAATACGATATTTCCTTTGTGAGGCCAGAGAGCCTTGATCTGTTCTGGCAGAGGTATGAAGGGGGGTGGAGGGATACCCCCAGGTGGGAGGGACTGAGGCCAAAGGTGGTCTCCAGGCAGCAGGTAGTCAAAAACATCACTAATACTCGCCAGGAACGAGTCCATACCGGCGGCAGACCTGGTAGTATGGTTGAGTCGCTTTTGGGGAAGTACTGAGTCCACTGAGAAAACAGCTTGATGACAGGGGTATATGGACGGGGGGATGGACAGCGGTGGTGAAGCTTGAAGATCTGCGAGTGCAGGTAAACATAGTGAGTCATATCCCATCATCAGCCTTCATTGGCAAAGATAGGCTGGTCATTTTTTATGCGGGCCAGCCTAAAGTATGCCACAGATGCGGGGAGCAAAGGGCACTTTGCCTCTGGGTGCGGTGTACTGAAATGCTCATTGTGCCAAGAGGTTGGTCATGTAGCTAAAGACTGCAATCAAATCAGATGTAATCTGTGTCAGGAGTTGGGTCACTCTTACAGTAATTGCCCAGAGGCTCTGCATAACCTGCCAGGGGTGATGGAAGAGCTGGCTAGAATGGAGGCTGAGGAGGCTAAGGAAGTAGAGGCAGGTCGGGTTTTGGTTGAACCAACAGTTGATGCTGGGCCAGCCTCAGGGGCGCCCAGTGTGTCCCCCAATGTGTCTGTCATTCCCCCTGTTGTTAGTATTCCCCCTGTTTCTGTCTCTTCCCAGTTGTCATCTGCTCCTCCTCGTCGTGTGTCTCCCTCCTCTGGCCAATCAAAAATCAAGGAGGCTGCTAAGGGAGCAGGGGTTGCGGGGCCCTCAGGGTCTTCTTCTCCAATTTTGCTCCCTCGTCGACGAGGAGGAGTCAGGTGAAGGGGGATGGGATGTTGGGATGTAAGCAGGAGTGTTCAGGCTCAGGTCCTGGGGTTGAGGGGCCTGGGACAGGGAATAAGGGGGATGCGTGGTCTGTAGTGGGGAAGGGAAATAGGAATAGGCCTTTAATTTCCCCTGCATCTTCCCTCTTCTCTTTAGATGTAGAGGAGGTACATCTGACCAACAGGTTTGGGACTCTGTCGGGGGAGGATGGGGACATAGGTGAGTTCCTATCCCCGATGGAGGATGAGGATGCTGGGAGTTCCCTAAAGAGGTCTAGGCCTCTGGGAAAGGCTGGGAAAACAAAGGTTAAGAAACGTCCATCTCAAGTATCCTAATGGCAGTTCCCGCTCCGATAAAGGTGGCAACCATTAATGTTGCCAGCATTAAATCTGTAAGTGCTCGTAGTACAGCCTTATTTTTTGCTCAGTAAGATTGGTGCTGATGTTTTATTTTTGCAAGAGACCCGGCTTAATTGCCTGGCCGATTTACATCTGGCAAAAAGAGAGTGGAGGTGTGGCCCATCTTTTTGGTCTCTTGCGGCTGAGCTTTACAGCGGAGTTGCGGTACTTTTTTCCGGCATGGTAACGTGTCGGCGGGTCCTTGAGGTGGAGATTGGAAGGTGTTTGGTCTTAGACGTCCTTGTGAAGGGGCAGGAATTACGTCTTATTAATATATACGGTCCCCAGTCTACGTGGGATAGGAAATGCCTTTTCACAAAGATTAAGCCTTTCCTTTTTACGTCCCGGCAGGTTGTCTTTGGAGGTGATTTTAACACCATCACTAGGCTCAAAGACAGGAAAGGCTCCACTGACAGGCTGGGATATGACAGCGTTTTTTTTAAATGCGATAGTCAGGGAAGCAGGTCTGGTGGATGCCTTGGTTAAGTGCAGCCCGGACAGCACGGGGTTCACTTTTAGAAGAGGTAGATGTGAGAGTAGGATAGATAGGTTTTTTTTAAAGGGGGACTCTGCTTTCTCGGCACCTGAGTGTCGGGCAGTGGAGTTTTCCGACCACCTTTTATTGACTGTGACTTTGAATGCTTCAGATGCGCCGCTGAAGGGAAGGGGTGTCTGGAGGTTGAATTCGGCTCTGCTGGAGGACGAAGAAGTGAGAGACGATCCTTTGAGGATTTTCTTCAAGCACAGGAGACCATCCTGGATTTCTGCGGCAGTAAGTCGGAGTGGTGGGAGCTTACCAAAGTGCGGATCAGCAGGTTTTTCAAGGCCCTAGGTAAGAAGAAACAACTTGTGAAATACATTGCCCATCAGCAGTTGCGGAGGAAGCTTGACCGCCTTGTCTCAGAGGGTGGAGATTCTGGGGCAATCTCAGAGGTTAAGCTTCTCTTAAGGAAACATCAGTATGATCGGCATGCCTCTTTGGTTCTGGAAAGGGATTATGGGAAATATCACTCGCCCGACCCTTACCAGAACTGCAAACAGAGCATAGCAGCCAAAACGATCAGTGGTCTGAAAGATAGTACGGGATCCGTGACAAAATCCAGGTCAGGGATCTTGGAGGTCTCGAGGGCTTTTTTTGAAAATCTTCTGAGGGAGAAGCACCTTGACCAGGCAGGGATGTCAAGCTTCCTGGATTCTACACCAGAATTGGAGAATAAACACCCCGTCCACAAGTTTGACAGGTGAGATCACAGTTGATCTCACCTGTCTGTCCCTGAGTAAAATTCTGTGGCCCTAAGTAACGGTTCTGTGGCCCTCAGTAACAATTCTGTGTCCCTGAGTAACAATTCTGTGGCCCTAAGTAACGGTTCTGTGGCCCTCAGTAACAATTCTGTGTCCCTCAGTAACAATTCTGTGTCTGTCCCTGAGTAACAATTCTGTGGCCCTAAGTAACGGTTCTGTGGCCCTAAGTAACGGTTCTGTTGCCCTCAGTAACAATTCTGTGGCCCTCAGTAACAATTCTGTGTCTGTCCCTGAGTAACAATTCTGTGGCCCTAACTAACGTTTCTGTGGCCCTAAGTAACGGTTCTGTGGCCCTCAGTAACAATTCTGTGTCTCTAAGTAACGTTTCTGTGGCCCTAAGTAACGTTTCTGTGGCCCTAAGTAACGTTTCTGTGGCCCTAAGTAACGGTTCTGTGGCCCTAAGTAACGGTTCTGTGGCCCTCAGTAACAATTCTGTGGCCCTCAGTAACAATTCTGTGTCTGTCCCTGAGTAACAATTCTGTGGCCCTAACTAACGTTTTTGTGGCCCTAAGTAACAGTTCTGTGGCCCTCCGTAACAATTCTGTGTCCCTGAGTAACGTTTCTGTGTCTGTGCGAGTAACAATTCTGCGGCCCTAAGTAACAGTTCTGTGGCCCTCAGTAACAGTTCTGTGTCCCTGAGTAACAATTCTGTGTCTGTGCGAGTAACAATTCTGTGGCCCTAAGTAACAGTTCTGTGGCCCTCAGTAACAATTCTGTGTCCCTGAGTAACAATTCTGTGGCCCTAATTAACGGTTCTGTGGCCCTCAGTAACAATTCTGTGTCCCTGTGTAACAATTCTGTGTCTGTGCGAGTAACAATTCTGTGGCCCTAAGTAACAGTTCTGTGGCCCTCAGTAACAATTCTGTGTCCCTGAGTAACAATTCTGTGTCTGTGCGAGTAACAATTCTGTGGCCCTAAGTAACAGTTCTGTGGCCCCAGTAACAGTTCTGTGTCCCTGAGTAACAATTCTGTGTCTGTGCGAGTAACAATTCTGTGGCCCTCAGTAACAGTTCTGTGGCCCTCAGTAACAATTCTGTGTCCCTGAGTAACGGTTCTGTGGCCCTCAGTAACAGTTCTGTGTCCCTGTGTAACAATTCTGTGTCTGTGCGAGTAACAATTCTGTGGCCCTAAGTAACAGTTCTGTGGCCCTCAGTAACAGTTCTGTGTCCCTGAGTAACAATTCTGTGTCTAAGCGAGTAACAGTTCTGTGGCCCTAAGTAACAGTTCTGTGGCCCTAAGTAACAGTTCTGTGGCCCTAAGTAACAATTCTGTGGCCCTAAGTAACAGTTCTGTGGCCCTCAGTAACAGTTCTGTGTCCCTGAGTAACAATTCTGTGTCTGTGCGAGTAACAATTCTGTGGCCCTAAGTAACAGTTCTGTGGCCCTCAGTAACAATTCTGTGTCTGTGTCCCTGAGTAAACAATTCTGTGGCCCTAACTAACAGTTCTGTGGCCCTAAGTAACAGTTCTGTTGGCCCTCAGTAACAATTCTGTGTCTGTCCCTGAGTAACAATTCTGTGGCCCTAACTAAAGTTTCTGTGGCCCTAAGTAACAGTTCTGTGGCCCTCAGTAACAATTCTGTGTCTGTCCCTGAGTAACAATTCTGTGGCCCTAACTAAAGTTTCTGTGGCCCTAAGTAACAATTCTGTGGCAACAGTAACAATTCTGTGTCTGTCCCTGAGTAACAATTCTGTGGCCCTAACTAAAGTTTCTGTGGCCCTAAGTAACAGTTCTGTGGCCCTCAGTAACAATTCTGTGTCTGTCCCTGAGTAACAATTCTGTGGCCCTAACTAAAGTTTCTGTGGCCCTAAGTAACAATTCTCTGGCACTCAGTAACAATTCTGTCTGTCCCTGAGTAACAATTCTGTGGCCCTAATAACGTTTCTGTGGCCCTAAGTAACAGTTCTGTGGCCCTCAGTAACAATTCTGTGTCTGTCCCTGAGTAACAATTCTGTGGCCCTAACTAAAGTTTCTGTGGCCCTAAGTAACAATTCTCTGGCACTCAGTAACAATTCTGTCTGTCCATGAGTAACAATTCTGTGGCCCTAATAACGTTTCTGTGGCCCTAAGTAACAATTCTCTGGCACTCAGTAACAATTCTGTCTGTCCCTGAGTAAGAATTCTGTGGCCCTAACTAGCGTTTCTTTGTCCCTAAGTAACGATTCTGTGGCCCTCACTAACAATTCTGTGTCCCTGAGTAATGGTTCTCTGTCCCTAAGTAACGTTTCTCTGTCCCCAAGTATCGTTTCTGTGGCCCTAACTCTGTCCCTAATACAGAGCGGTCTGCCTCTGTTCAATGACTGCAGGCAAATGAAGAATTCCAAAATGGCCGCTATTTATAGCTCGACCATTACACAGTGCTGGCTGGCTGGCTGCTGATTGGCTGATGCGATCACATGTCATTGAGGAATGCATTATGGGTCAGCGCGCCTTGTCTGCGCGCCTTCCCAGACATCCCCGCTCCGTCGCCGCACATGTCCGCCGCCATTTTCGGAAAAATTTCGATTCGCGCGTCCGAAGTAGGCTTATTTTTCGGAATCGAAATTTTTCCGATATTCGACTCGAATTCCACTTCGGCTACTTCGATTCGCTCATCTCTACTGATGATGTGTCTGTTTTTTCATCTCCGGGGCCAGTGAGGTGCAGGAGGTGGTCTCGGTGATGGAACAGTATGCAGAAGCATCAGGCTCCAAGATCAATCAGGATAAATGTGAAGTTTTCTGGATGGGCAGGGAAGGTGAGGGCTTCAAGCTTCCGGAAGTCTTCCCAGAGCCCCGACAGAAGATCAAAGTGCTAGACATCGAATTTGGCCCGGAGGATTATAGCAAAGCAAATTGGGAATCCAGGCTGTCAGATGCTGATGTTAAAGTGAGATGCTGGAAGGGGTGGCGTTTGTCCCTAAGGGAAAGAGTTGACCTAATTAAAACTTAATTAGTTTTTCTTGTACGTCAGTTTCATCTGTCTCTTGCCAGAATCTCCCTATACGAGAGTCTACAGCTGTTTTTTCCAGCTATTGTGGGGAAACAGGCTGAACCTTGTGAGGCGGGATGTGACGTACCGATCCAGGCGGGAGGGTGGCCTAGGTATGGTCAACCCAGTTGTTTTCTTCTCTCTGCTGTTTATTAAACATAATATTGGTAGCATGTTAAAAGAGAGACCACCTGCATGGGTAGGTTTTTTCCAAGTCTGGTTTAGGCCTTTTCTGAACTGTTGGGAGAGAGACGGGCCAGTGAGAAGCCTGAGGGTCAAGCACGGTAAGCTCCCGGCTTATGTCGCCCCGTGTTTGAAGATACTTAGGCGGTGGTGTGTGACTGCGGAGGAGGTCCGGTCACTCCCTGGGAGGCTCCTGAGGGAGAGGGTCGTGGCTTCGGCATTCCATGCACTTCTGGCCTTGAAGGATTGCCCAGGCCATATTTTGCGGGAGGGTCTGAGATTGTTAAATATGGAGAGGATTCCCTTAAAGTTTAGGGACCAGGCCTGGCTTGCGTTCCACGGCAGGCTCTACGTGAGGGGAAATTTGAAGTGCCGTTCTCTGGATAACCGTGGTTTGTCCGAGGACGGAGTGTGGGGGCGAGGTTGAAAGTATGGACCACTTCTTGCTTCAATGTCCCTTCAATGTAGAGGTGTATAAAGAGGTGGGGAGGGCTCTGGACATCCCTTTCCTGCACTGCATGTCTTATGCAGAGTGGGTATATGGGGCATTGGAAAGTCATGCTGGTTTTGATTTGGACACACTGTTTCTAGTTTGTCTAGTTGTCCGTTATTACACATGGAATGCACGGTGTCAGGTTTCCATTCGGCAGAAAGTCCTTCCTGTTCAGGTGGTGGTGTGTGACATCCTTGGTGAGGTTGGGAAAAATTTGGGGTCTTGAGAAAGACAGGCTGAGGCGAAGGGTCTGGATAAAGGCGTGGAGGAATATCAGGCCTGTAGCGGCAGTCTGTTGATCTCTTGGTGTGGTTGCTGTCCTGCTTTTCTCCTCTTTTTTCACCCCCTTAGATTTTGATTGAAGGTTTCTTTTTGAGAATGGTCACGGACACCTGAAGGTCTAGGTTTCTTAGCCTTTGTTGGGTAGTATAGTAAGTTTTCTAGTTTTGTTAAAGCCATATAGGCGAATAATTTAAAGCGTGTGAGGTTTCTCCTCATAAGGGATATGTTATTTATGTATGCTGGTAGGCCATATCATGTCCTGGAGATGTATCCAGTTTTTTCTTTGTTTATTTCTGGTAGGAAGTTTATGTTATTTATTTATTTTTTTTTATACTTTTGTAAAAAAAATATGTTTGCTGGTTGCAAGATCTATTTTTGAATAAAAATATTTCCAGCTATCCTACAGTCTGATCCCAGCAGCCTGTGAGAGAGGAAGTGGGTGTGGTGCTGCTGACACAGACAGAGTGGTGAGTGTGTGAAGCTCTCTGAGGCTTGGAGGCCTCATTCGGGCCTGGGGCTAAATTTTTGGCCTAGGCCCGGCAAACTATGGAGGAGCCCGGCCATGATCCGGGCGGGGGTACCCCCCCAGGGGAGCAGAGTACCGGTCCAATGGAGACCAAGGACCTGGGAAATGCCCCCAAACAGGGTGAATCGTATGCTGCCTACAGAGGACGGGTGACGGTTCATGTAGCCAGGATCAAGAGGGAGGAGGAGAAGCTGAACAAGCTAAAGCTGGATTTGAAGAGAATGAAGGTGAGCTATGAGAGAGCACTAAAAGGCAACTCATGCGGCCTGAACTGGATTCCATGGAGCTGGCAGTCCGCCAGCAAAGCTCTTATGTGAGTACCCTGAAGCAAGCCAGTGGATCCTCAGGGAGAAGTACTCCAACGAGGAGCATTTCAAGATGGCCAGGGAGCGGTCACTAGCTGCAGCAAGAGGGCAGCCATGTGAAGGATCCTCATCAGGGGATCAGTCGGATCCCACTGGTGCAGCTGTGACAGCTATGGAGGAAGTCCCAGAGCAAGCTGGGAGGGAGCGCAGCAGTGAGAGCGGAAGAGGAAGTCCCAGAGCAAGCCGGAGGGAGTGC